AAAAAAAAAAACAATACAGAAAATTCTTTATATTAAATATTTATATTCTTTATATTAATAATATATTGTGTTTTTGTTTTACATTTATTTTTTTATCAGTATAGTAGTACAAAAGCTGCAGAAAAGCAGAGGAAAAATGAAAAAAGTGAAAATGGTAATAGTATATGCTTTTATTTGCACTAAAGTTATTTGCTTGAAGGGGGTGTATTATGATTTTACAGGAACATATTCAAGAATTATAAGAATTATTCCACATTTGTTTAGTGGAACCAAGGTTATTATAATGAACTAAAACTAACATTAAAACCATAAAACTATTGTTTCTTAAAAAAACAAACAAACAAAAAAACCTTTAGCTGAAATAAGTATAAAAAACTATATTTAAATAATTTCAGCTATTTTTATATAATTTCTCATTTTAATTTAGTTTAACATGATGTAATAAAATAACTAAAACTAATACTGTAATAAAAAAAATTATAAAAATATATAGACATATATAAAAAATACTAAAAACGCACAACAAAATTACTAAAACTAACTAGAATTAAAATGGAAAATATAAAATATATAAAAATATAAAAACTATAATAGTATCTCAATAACATTAAAATGACACTGAGAGGAACACTTGACTAAATATTTAGTTTGTGATAGACATCTTTAAAAACCTCGTAATCAATACTGAGGTCAACTCATTTGAATAACAATTGCTCAAGTGTGACTTTCCCACCAAATGAGGGCAGTTTGCGCTCTTTTTCTCAGGGTGGAGGATGTTGATTCGCGGCCCTGCCGTGCTCCGCTGAGGCCGAGCAGATGTTCCTGTACGGCCTGCTGCATGCAGTGTGCTGGTCAGTGTCTGATGCTCTGTCTCTCTGTTAAGGTCAAAGGTCCCACAACGTCAGGAGGCAGACCTCTCGCACGGGTCAGAGAGCACCACGCCGCTAATAGAGGCAAGAGAGTTCAGTGCGTGTTGCTCGGGCAAATGGTTTTGCACCTATGAAATGGTTAAAGTTTAAACCCTCTTACCACATCCCTCGACACCTGAACCAAGAGCTCAGGCCGGCTGGACTATTAATGCCGTATGACCACAGCATTGGTGAAACAGCTTTTTCCTGAAAAATCAGATCAGAATAAAACCAATCTCATATACTATAAAAGGAAAGAATTGAGGGCAGAATAGAATTTAAAGATTGAATTTAAAACAAAAGGGCTAAAATAGCGACTGGATGGCTAGTGTATTAGATAAATGATCTATGATCATTTAAGATAAATATTGGCTTTTATATGTTAGAAAGAGAGACTGTAGAGATAGTGATCAGAATCCAGGAAGGGCTGCATTTCAGATCAAAGACCAACAATTCAACCCCAGAAACCTGGAAACACACAGAGAGTGAAAACAAACACAGCAAGCAAAGAGAGCAGAGGACAAACAGCTCGAAATCTGTGCCATCTGGATTTTGTAGGATGCAAATCAGTAAAGCAGTGAGTGATTTTTATAAAACAAATGGCTTAAAAGAATAAACATGACATGAACAAGATACAAAGAATCACTGTAAACCTAGTGCTAAAATAAATGCATTGGTTTGAGTAGGAAAAATCTAAATTAAACAAATTAGTTCAATCAGTAGAATCGATTTCTGTTTCTGTATTTATATTAATGTTTTTCTATACAAGTGACACATTTATCAAATGCGATTCATTGTAATAAAACAGCTATCAAACAAAAGTGTTGCAATGCTCATTTTGAAGCATAAACTAGTAGTACTAAAGCTGCACAAAAGTATAAAGGAAAAAAAATAATTTTTATTTTTATTAATATTCTTATTTTGTAACATTTGGTTTTATTTTTCAGCAAAGCGAGCAGAGGACAAACGTCCAATGCTCAAAATGTACAAATCTCAATTTAAACAAATGAGCTCAATCAAATTAAATTTCATGATTATTTAGAACTTTCTTTTTCTTTTGAGTTCACGAAACAGACACTTCTTAAGTAATCTGAATTGGTTCATTGTTTTGAGTTTAATGAACTTGCGGTGCCATGGCAACCAGAGGGCTTGAATAGCAGTGTCAAATCCCTGAACAAACAGACACACACTCGCTCGTCCTCCACTACTCAGAGAGAGAGAGAAAGAGAGAGACAGAGAACAGAGCGAGGCTTGTTGGCCAGTCACCACAGACGCTCGGGTCAGCTGTCTCTCCTGACCATTGGATCTCATGATTTACTGATGAATGGAGAAAGGCAGGGCACGGGAAGGAGCAGACTGCTAAAAGAGCTTAAGGTCGGTTCTTGGGAATGCTGAGGCCCCGGAGACCATACGGCTGGACCAACCGGCACTGACGAAACAAGGTACTTGAGACTCTCTCTCTCGCTCATAGAGCACAGAGTGTACTGAGACTCAGCCAAAAGGTGCTTCATGCTAAGTTGCAAGAGCATTCAGGATTGTGTTGTTTAACCAAGTGAAAGAGCAAGGAACTTTCTTGAACTTTGGTCCTTGAGGAGCATGCAGGGTGGGGGCTGAGCTCTGTTTATCATTAGCCAGGTTGCTGTCTGCATGTTTGGCATTGTGGTTTTCTGCTGTTTGGGAAGCAGCTTAACCCTTATGCATCAATTATAAAAAATAGTTACTCAGAGGTCCTTAGGACAAAAATGTTAGTGTCAAAAAATGTCATAAAAAATATTATATTACATTTTTATTTTTATGCTTTTACTTTATGCTTTTACTTTTTTTTACCAACATCAGCCCTGATGAAATATATATATAGTACCAAAAATACTTTTTTTTAAAGGATTTTAACCCTGTAAATGCCTATTTGTTTACTGCCTCTGTTGTATTGTTTAATGAAAACACACACACAAAAAATCTATTCCAATCAAATTTCCATATACTAAATGCTAAGCAGATGTTTTTATTATATTTTTTTATTTTTATTGATTTATTTATTTTTTAGGATTATTACAGTCTTGGATATGTTAGTGATTGGAAGCAATATTAACTTTGATGCATTATTATTATATATATATTTTTTAAATAATCCATTCTCGATATCAATACCAATACATCCACACAATTACAATTACATAACTTCAATTGTCCTTTTGAAATTGAAAAAATATATATGTTTATTTGCTCCAATGGCCAAATATCAGAAAATGGCACCATCAATTACAAAATAGTAAACATGAAAAAAAAAGTAAAACATTTTTTTGAAGCTTTGCTGACAGAATCAAAGCCTATTAACAAAAAAAATGCAAGATATCACAGTTTTGATAGAGACATATTTGTCCTTAAGGTCCCGAGTGTAACTTTTTTTGTACCTAGTGTAAAACAGATTTATGAAAGTAAATGAGGGTGAAATATTAAAATTCCAATAAAAATACACATTTATGGCAAATCTTATGCTGTTTGCATTGACAGCCAAAAAAATGTCCCTGAGGATGCGCAAGATTAAAGGAAGCCGTGCCTTTTAGATTATATGATGTTTAGATAACCCCAGAAGATTATTTTATTGGGGAGTGAAGTTCTCAGTTATCAACTTCGTCTCAGATGTTTCCTTCTAAAATTACAGTAGTAGACACAAATGAGACTGTTGTTGATGTACAGTAAAACCATAAAGCTATAAAATGAATTCTTGGAAGAGTTTGATGAGAAAATGTTTGACCTCACAGACTTTGGTGTCTTCTGAGCACACTGTTGAGAAGCTCTTCTGAAACTAGAGGAGACACTTATGAGATTAGAGGGGAGCTCTTCACAGAAGCAAAAATCTGGGAAGCAGGAGGCTTAACTTCGTCTCCATTTGCTCTCCTTTTAATCTCATTGCTGTCGAGGAGAAACAACCGAGATGCTAAGTGATCTCATTTGTGATTTTCCAGACTAAAATGTGAACAAGTAAACACGAGATACACTGGCAGGTTGAGTCAAACCTACCCAAGTGACCTGTAATACCCTCAACCTTTCTAAACACGACCGCATTATTTCTCAGTACCGAAGGAACTGGTTTAACTTGTTGGTTACTAGGGGGCACGTAGAGTATGTTTTCCTGGTGTAATGTCACGGCGGCTGCTAGCTGAGAAGGAGTTTCATTTCATCCACGTCTCAGAGCTGTGCAGCTTGTCTTTTTCCCTGAAGTCTGGGTGCGTTTATATTGTTTCCTGTGAAAAGGGCGAGGTAAGCTGTCCAACTCTGAACTGCTCATTGATTCAAAGGGATCTTGAGATCTTCAGAGGGTTTTGTGGTTAGGGGACATGAAGAAAAGCAACAGGGATTTTGACATGACAAAAACATGTCAGCCCGGTAAGCCTCGGAGGTCTTCAGAGTGCTGTTAAACGTGTTTCTCCTCCAAGTCTGACTTGTTCGGCTTACTGTCTGCAGCGTAAAGGGATTTGCTCCGGGGCGGGTCTGAATTCTCGACGTGGGAAGGTTTCTCAAGCAGCTCCTGCTGGTGAACACAGAGATGGCCATGGTGAGCGGGGGATGGGCCAACCCCAATGGCAGCGCTAATGGAATCGGTGAGAAAGGTTACCTGCGGGGGGAGGAGGAGAGCAGCTCGCCCCGGGCAGGGAACAGCGACACGGAAGGTGGCGAGGAGGACAAGGCCTGCGTGGTGGACTGTGTGGTGTGTGGGGACAAATCCAGTGGGAAGCACTATGGCGTTTTCACCTGCGAAGGGTGCAAGAGTTTCTTTAAGAGGAGCATCAGACGGAACCTCAACTATACCTGCAGGTGAGACACAGACGCATTATCCATCACACCGTCTTACATTGGTTAGCAAACAGGTTCATGTTTTCCACTTACATTTTTTTTTATTCAATTCAAAATGTGATTACAACAAACTGGCACAATCGTCAGGTTTTTTTTTTTTTTTGCAAGGAACTGAAGGCTCAACAAATCAGAACCATCTGTAAATAAATAAACAAAAAGATTTGTGACTGCTCAGACACAACAGCCAATCACACGCTGTGTTTCCAGATGCAGCTTGGCAAAGGAATTTGGCTGAACTTTCTGTGAACTCTGTTAACCTTTTACTGACACTTAAATTAGAGTGTAGACCTATGTAAGTGAACATTTACAAACTCATGAATCAGAGCCTGCAATAAAGGAGATGAGTAAATCATAGTAATCATGCTATAATAAATGCTTGATGCCTACTTTTTTCTCAAGGAGCATGTGTGCTCCTAAGTAAATTTAAAGATGCCATAGAATGCATTGATACAATAGGCCTATTTTAAATTGTTCTCTGATGTCCCCAGAGTGTGTATGTGAAGTTTTATCTCAAAATACCCCACAGATAATTTTTTTATAGCTTGTTGAAGTTGCCACTTTTAGGGAATGAGCCTAAACGTGCCGTTTTTGTGTTTGTCCCTTTAAATGCAAATGGGTTGGTGCTCCTGCCTCCCTTTTCAGAAGAGGACGGAGCTACAAGAGCTCATGCTCCGGCATACCGGTGTTACGGTTTAACTGGTGGTGACCGTGTTACTGGCTTCACATTGCTTCCAAATGCAATTTTTAACTACCACATTCCTATTTACTATCATACTGGTGGCACGTGAAGGGAGCATCAGTGAAAACAGGCAGAGACAAAAGTAGCTTTAGCAACATCAGCCTTACAGAAAGCTAAGAAGCTCTTTTGGAAAACAAAATATGACGTGTGATGCTTACTTTGTCTGGAGTCTGGACGTTTGCGCACGAAACGCTGGTATCGATCCCTCTTTCAGAAACAAACTTTGCACAACAGCGCTGAACTGACCCTCGTTTGTGAGGCAGTCCGGCGTAAAATGATTAGCACAAACATATAGGACTTTTCCGTTTTTTTCCAGGACATTTCCTTCGAAAATGAAATTTAACCACCGTGTCCTCAGCGGTCTATGAGACTCTTATGTTCGTTGGTGCATCCCAACACACGACACTTGTAATGGGTCTTTGGCGCTGACATTGTATCTCAAGCAGCTACAGCAAGAAAACAGTAATGGCGGACCCGCTGCTTCTCACTCAGGGCTGTGTCTATGCTAATAGGGCAGAGATTGTCACAAATGGGTGGGACTTTCCCGAGTATGACGTCTTATAGTGATAAACCTGGAACCGCTCGTTTGGAGAGACTGTTTATGATTTATTGGGATTACAAAAAAAATGAGTGGGTGGATTTTTACCATTATAGGCTGGTTGTTTTCACACACTGCGGCCGCACAACTGTGTTCAACCACCTTATAAAAGTGATTTTTGCATTCTATGGCACCTTTAAAAAAAACTTGAAAAATTTAGAGGCTCAATGAAAAAAATAAATAGGTTTTAAAATATTTGTTTCACACACACACACTTTGTGGGGCTTTTAAGTATAAAGGCCAAAATACAGCGGGACTCTTATTTTGAAATGCTTTACCTGGCCGCTAAATGGGTATGGGAGATCGTAATATGCATTCTTACATCCATCTCTACAATATGTTACGATATAACCATGAAGTAAAAATGGCGTAAGCAATGTAATAATTTCATTAACAGTAAATCAATCAAGCAATTGCTTGGCATGAATGCATTTATTGCGAGCTGCTCTGAAACCTGTTGAACACCACTGCGTTTTGACTTTGAAACGTGCAGCGCTCGTATTTAATAAAAATAGCCTTTTGAAGATGACTAAAAACATTAGCCCGTTTCGCGATTCCTGTCACCAAATTTAAAATAGCTTAAAATCATAATTAAGACGTTTTTTTATTCAATTTAAGACGCTTAAGGCTTTTTATGAGCTTAACTTTCATAAAACTGAGGGACGTTTTAATTCACACACGTGCTCCTAAATACATTTTACACATCTATTCGTAGTCACAAATGTCAGTGAAATCCTGGTACTGTCGAGCCCTGCTAGAATGTTAATCAAGTAAGATTAATACTAATGTTAAGATTTAGGCCGTTTTCTGCAAGTAAAGATGTCTTTCTTTCACATTGCATCAAAACATTTTTAGTTGAACACTATCCTACATCTTGTCCTAACCAGGAACAACTAGACAAACGACTAGCAATACAAGCTCTCTCTCTCTTGGCTGTAAAGCACTCATACTGACCGCAACTAAAGCAACCGACAGTCTGTCATTTTCAAAATTGAGACAACTGGAGTAACAGGAACTGTTGGCAATGTGACAAGTTGAGCAGAGTTCAAATGTATGTAAATAAACAGCAGCAAGATACATCAAGAAGCTGAAAGTCTAGAACAGTGACTTGGTGACTTGACCACCAGCTAATTAATCGCTAACTGAGTTCTTTGTCTTAAAGGGGTCATATGATGCGATTTCAATTTTTCCTTTCTCTTTGGAGTGTTACAAGCTCTTGGTGCATAAAGAAGATCTGTAAAGTTGCAAAGACTAAAGTCTCAAATCCAAAGAGATATTCTTTATAAAAGTTCAGAGTCAGCCACACCTACCTAAAACGGCTCGTTCTAACACACCCCCACATACCTACGTCACGATCTCGGAAGATTTGCATAACGCCGCCCAAACGTTCACGCAAAGAAAGAAGCCGTAACTTTTATTCTCGCTGTAGTATTATTGCTGCCGCCATGTCCTGAAGACGCTGTGTGTTTCGTTGTGAAAACACAACATAATTCAAATCGAAAATAGAAACTCTTTCATTATGTAATCC